ATATATTAAGGACTAAATTTAATCTTTTGTATTTTCAAAAGTGCCGTGATAGCAAGAGCCGTGATAGCTCAGTGTCCGGGCGCTCGCCTTTAATTCAATATACTCGAGCAACCTGAGTTCAATCCCCGGTGCCGGCCAATGAAGTATTTAACTTTAAGTGCTGACTTATCACGTGCTCCGCGGTGAAGGAAAACATCGTGATGAAACCTGCATATTTTCGAAATAATATGTGAAGTCCGCCAATCCGCAGTGAGGAAGCGTGGTGGACTATGCCCTGATACCCTCTGTATAGAGGAGGCCTTGCTTTACTTTTACTTTTACTTTTTCAAAATAGTAGCAAACGAAAAAGTTCCATTGCAGGAGTTCAACCTGCTTTTTCATTTATATGATATAATAAAATTCTTTGGACTTCTTAATTCTTCAGCACTCGCTCTGCTATGTCTATGGTAACTCTAGCTCTTCTACGGATCTCCTCATTTCTGATTCGATCTCGTAGAGAAACCCCAAGCATTACCGTTTCCAAAGCTCTCTGTGCGACCCCGACCTTCCTTATGAGGCTCATAGTGAGAGACCACTAGGGGCCTAGTTAACTAATCGCTACCAATGGACTTTCCGGCTACCTAAGGAGGTGTAGAGTTAGAGGTTAAAGGGGTTAGAGAATAAAATTCGTTTAGAAAATTCTTTTGCAAATATGTGATTGTTTAACTTTACTAGACCGGATTATATTGCTATATGATATTCTCTTTTCATAGATGCTATAAAACGCCACAAATTTTATTGTTAAGATAACACTTCCTGGCATGCAATTTATTTAAACAAAAACTATTATTTGAATAAAATGCATTTTGTGACAAAATACTGGTGTTAACAATATGTTCCATTAGTAGTTGAAAACGTTGAGGATAAAATTTATCAGATTCACGATAAATGGGTTTGTTTAACAAACAACGGAAAAAAGCTCTCCATGGAGTATTAAAAAATTTATCAGAATTTATGCGATCCAAAAACAATTTGCTATGCTCGTACAATATAAAAAATAGCTTTTGTTATTTTTATCTTTTTTCAACATTAATCCTATGGTGACTTTATTGTAAAAAGTCATAGGTACTCTTATGTGGCTTTAAGTGAAAGCATAAATGAAACACATACTTCTTGACGTGAAAAATAGTTAGATTTAATTACTTTCTATTGTATGTTTAATATTATGTACACATTATTATGAACAGTTTCATAGTTTATAAGCAGATTCAAACTTTTTCTCATTTATTTTTTATTTACAATATAACAAAGCTATTAAGTATCATTTAAATAATTGAAATGAAATTCAAAATTAAGCTCAAAAATTGCATAGAGCATAGAAAATATTTAACCTAAAAATTGTGTTAAAAATCTTTTCATACTTAAGAAATTTCCGGGAAACCCTTCAATTTATTTTTTTCTTATTATGAAATTACAAAATTTATTAAATAAATCATCCGAAACATTGAAAGGGTAAACCTTTTTCTTGCTTTTTTATTTGAGAAAGCGGCAAGCGAGCTGGCGTGTCACCTGATGTTAACTGATATCCGCTACCGTTATGTTACCACATTTTATTTAAGTGGAACCCGGTTAACATACTCAGCAGACAAAACGCAGATGTATACTTCCAATTCCCATGGTCTTCTGTGAGGTTTTTTTTTATATGAGAAAGTGGCAAACGAGCTGGCGGTTCACCTGATGTTAAGTGATAACCGCCGACCATGGACATTTGCAACACCCTTAGGGTTGCAAATGCGTTGCCACCTTTAAATAAAATGGGCCCCAGCTACCTCACTCGTCACACGATTCGCAGAATTGTAACGCTTCTACATTACGCCGATCTTCTGTGAGGTCGTGGTACTTCCCCAGATGGACCTGCCCCTTCCCGCAACAGCGAAGACCATGGCGTGGCCCTACCACGGTAAAAAAATAAGTCGTCGTGTCACCGTAACATTTCATACACCCAGGTGATTCAGTTATTAGCCAGTGATGCTTTGTAAAATAAAATAAGCATCTATCCTCCTCACACAAAGCCTAAAATCTCGTGAACCCTAATCGCTCTCTTTCAGAAGTTATTGCATTTCGTTTATTTTATCGCTTATCTGCGTAATGGTTTTCATCTATTGCCTAGTTATTCCCTTAGTTACGGTCGTCAAGTTTGACCACGCCTTTCTTCATCTCTCAAAGTTAATGAACCTTTAGCTAAGTAATTAAAACACACCAAGAAGTAATTTAACTCATGAGTGTGTTCAGTCGGTTAAATTATTTTTTGATAATGTGTAACAGAAACTTTATTTATTTTATTATTTTATTATTTTATTAATGCAAGAGTAAAGAGTCTAGGAAAAGAAGTGATCCTTAACTCTTTTTTTTAAAATCGATATTGTTTTAGATTCACGGATTATCGGTACCTTCTTCTGTGTGAAGTGCCTATGCGGAATACCAATGTTTATATACCATTCCTAAATAAAAACATAGGTGGTCGCTCCTAACGCAGGTTGCTTTAATATAATTCCCAAACACGCATTACGAAATGCGTGGACGTCCAAAACTGAATAATTTATAAGGGTTGTTTCGTACGTTTCTGTTCGGATCGGCCGAAGTGACTTTGATACGGTAAGTGGTTATTTTTCATCTAGAGGGATTGTATGACCGATGGTCTGAAAGCTTTGCCATGTAGCCGGCCGGTCTCATTTGGTATTATACAATTAATACACGCGTGATTGGAAAGAGGGATCTCCTACTTATTCATCCCCAGATAGTAAGAAATTAATAACAAGAACACAACGTTCTCAATTCGACTGTGTTGTTTTTTTTATGTTTGTCACCTCTGAACTTACGATTGAGTGAGCCCATTTCGATGACTTTTTTATTTTAAATCTGGTGCTTCCCATGTGGTCCCATATTTAGGGAAATCAAATTGATTTCCTTAAGTATCTCCAGAACCCAAGATCCAATATCATATTTTAAAATAAAAAAAAAGAATCATCAAAATCGGTTCACTCAGTCAAAAGTTCAGAGGTAACAAACATAAAAAAATTAGAACCCCTTCATTTTTTGAAATCAGTTGTAAATAGCACTCTATTGTATTTCTTTATAAGAATTTAGAGTAATAATAAATATTTTAGGACACATTTTTACACAACGTCCTCTACCTTGGGTACTAGATAACTGATTAACATATTTAAGCGTAATTTTCTTTTGTAAATAAATACATAATTATACATATTTAAACGTCCAGACACTAGAAAAACACTATGTTAATCACACAATATTTTTCCTGTAGCGGGGATCGAACCCACACCCTTTGGCGCACACTACCCACTACGCCACTCGGGTCGTCGAATAAATAACTTACCAGTAATTGTAGTAAGTTAATAATATTCTGAGTAAAGCTTATAACCTTGCGCAATATAAAGTACACAATGTAATATCCTAAAAATACTTTGGTATACATTTTTTCTACATTGCTGGGTAATTTTGACTACGATCGCTCTACTCGATTAATAGCATTGTATGACGTAGACGTCAAAAGTACTTACTCAGTAAAACCATATTGCCTAGGAAACACTTCCATTATAAGCTGTTGGAAAGATTTTAAATTATTACACTGTGTTTTATTTTTCAATATCTAATATGTTATATGATACTGTATAAGAATATGATACTGTATAAGATAAATTAAATAAATTAAATTGAAAGAATGAATTGAAACGAAATCTTCAAGTTGTTGAAGTTAGCTACTCGCTCGTATGAGGTTACTAGATATTTATATACTATTCTAAACTAGATTTACAGTTCTATATTCCTTTTCCAAGATTCTTAGCGGAAGAAATATAAGTTTTATGTCTATGCTCGATCGAAGATGACATGAGTTTTTTTTTGGTTGGGTTTTTAACCGACTTCAAAAAAGGAGGAGGTTTCTCTCAATTTGACCGTATATATTTTTTATGTGTGTTTGGGGATAACTTCGTCATTTATGAACCGATTTTGATGATTCTTTTTTTGTTGCAAAGGAGATATTCCAAGGGTGGTACCATGAAGGAAACCCAGACCTGAAGATGCCATCCCAGAGAAATCGAGGGCAATCCTCAAATATTACAGGTGTTGACAATGCTTTTACTTTCCTGTTTGAAGTCGGTTATTTTTTGTTCAAAATTATCATCATATCTCATTGACAAAATCGATTTTGCAAAAATATTTGTCAAATTGCGTCGATACCCGACATTTCACGCCAAAAGTATACCAGCATTTTTGACCCTAACGATATCATTCGGAAGGTTCGTGTCCACTTATGTTCCTTGTAAAATTTTACTCTCGTCGACCAATTCACCATATTCTAAAATGATGTATCAAGAACACGAGAACCCGTAGATTGACACTTATGCCTTGGAAGAGAGGCACTGGTCCATACTGGGAAGTAACTTATTAGTACATTGACGTAGCTACATTGCTAGCCCCTTTCCATAGATGTCGAAGCGGAGAAAAATTAAGCAAATGGTGCACATATGACTTTCTTCGTGAAGGCTATATTTTTGTTCCATTTGCTGTGAAACTTTAAGGTATGTGGGATCCCGACACAATCAAATACGTAAAATAGTTATGTTCTTGCCTTATGGTTGCGACGGTGGATAACCCGGTGATATTTAATTTTTTTTTTCTAAATGAAATTTTTTTCTAAATGAAATTTTATTTAAACGAATATTCTTAAATTCGCAAAATTTATAATAAAAATCTACAATGACCGAGTGCAAGAAATTTGAATTTAAAATTTTTTTTTTTGAAACTAAACTAATCCGAACCTAAAGCTTGATCAATTTCACGATAAACATTGCGTAAGACTCGCCTAAATCCAAATTTAACATAATTTTTGAATATTTGTATATTCTTTTGTATTTTTATTTTCTTAATTCGATTGTATTCCCTGTTTTCGTTTGTATTTTGAGATCGACGATATGTGTGAATTTCAATGGTCAGTATTAAACCTGGAAAAGAAAGCTATGTAAGTTCAACTTAAAAACTATTAATTTCTACTTGATGTGGTGGATATAGGTTTATAATTATGGCCCCATTATGAGCCGTGACAGCTATGAGTCGAACGAAATGGTTCATTGTAATTTTAAGTGCTGACGTATCACGTGCTTAGTCGTGAAGGAAAACATCGTGACGAAACCTGCACATTTTCTGTAAATTAATATCACATTGCCATAACGCTAAAACAAAAAAATAATGAAAAAATTATTAATGAATGTAACATACCCGCTAAAAGATAGCCAATGCCTAATAGACAAAATGCTCCTCGAAGCATAACTAATGAAACGGGTTTCAGCCCACCAGAAGACTCAGACTGCGTCTGAAACATTGCGACATTAATTATTAGTAAACTGATGTTAATTAAATGATTTTAAGCTTATCTGATAATAACTAATTCCTACTACCCTTGACATGCCATTTTATGCACATAAGATGAAACCTTTAATTTGAATGCACGGATATCCCAATGGATACCATTTTCCCAACCCAATGTATTCCCTTTTAGGATTGGATCACATAATTTTTCTCCATTTATGAGGACAAAAAAATTGTGTGATCCATTATTATTTGTAGCAAGTCTGGTCCGAACATCAGGCATTTGTTTTCATGTTTGTGAAACCTCCCATAAAACAGGAATCACCTTGGCAGCAAACAGTTTATAGAAATAAGAAAATGGGAACAGTCTCTTTTGTTTAAGGTCTCTTAGTATATCCGCTACAGAAACAGCAACAGTTGTAAGTGATTATTTAAAGTGATGAAGCGAGGCAGGACATTTCATGAAAAGCGTCCACCGTTGACTGCCCACTATACCTGCCCACTATATGGTCTTGATGATAATTCAAAAAATAATAAACATAATCTAGTAAAACATAATAAATAAAACTGCGTTCGATGAAGCTTAATAGTCTAAGGACTGAAAGCGTAACATCAGTTTTTTTTTTTTATGCGAAAAGTTGCCAAACGAGCAGACGGGTCACCTGATGTTAAGTGAATACCGCCGCCCGTGGACATCTGCTACACCCGAGGGTTACAGATGCGTTGACAACCTTTTGAAAATTGGGCTCCGGCTACCTCACCAGTATCAGTACGTATCAGTTATGCAAATACAATAAATAAAATAAATCACTATAGACATTTTAGTTTTAACAAGACCTGTGAGGTGGTGATAGAGTCGCCCAATACGTCAGCGTTTTCTTTATCGCTTTCTGTTACAGGTTCAGATCTCCTAGATTGTTCCGGGAGATTTTTGTATTCGTCCTCTGTCATTTTTGTCAGAATCCCCGCCTCAAATATGTTCATTATCCTGAAAATTATAAAAAGCTTCGTTACAACAGTATTAATCTTATTTAAAACCACGATTTGTCGTCACGTGTTTGAAATCCAACGACCTGCACAATATCTCAGTTTAATCGTTAAAGTCTTAAAAGTGTAGAATTTGTATCAATTGGTGATATATTTGGCAAGTTTAATGTTCTAAAATACGATTTTATCCTTTACTTTTTTAAAACCCTCTTATGCTTTAAGTAGTTCCAGAAACAGGCTATTTATAATATTTTACCAAAGACGTAACTTACACGTTATTAAAAGTTTCAAGATAAGGACATCCGATCTGCAGTGCTATAGCCGAATATCTTGTGTAAAGCTTTTCGCTCAAATGAAAATTGTGGGAACCTAAAATACAGTAGTGGCAATATAAATACTTTATCATGTTAAGTGATGATAATTGATATAAAACAACGTTAATCAATTAAAAGTTTCACAACAAATTATTCATTTCGCTAGTATAATCCATTCCATTAAACCTAGAATTTAATAGATATAGATAGCGGGGCACAATATGAGTTAATGACATGTGTCTTTTAGTAAAGACGGCATATTGCTTATCCTTTCTTTAAATTTAATTAAACAAAATTAGTGTTACTATTTTAGTACCAAAACGCTCAGTGTCATAGTACAATGTCTCCCGTCCTCCAAGCACGGCAATTCTTTTATGCGCCAGAACTAGTCGCACCCCAATCTCTATACTGCGAACCCGTTGGATTTTTTGCCGTCGCATCAATTTCGCAAGACGCCCGTACACTCCTGTGCCATTCTATTTTGATAAATAAAATGTCTTCAAAAAGATTTATATATATACAAAAGATTAGATAGATTGATTTATATGCCGAATATGTATATAACCTTTTTCAAAAATATTATGATTGCATATCATCGAAAATTAACAAGTCCATTTTTTCTTCATTTCACGGCGCCATTCGTTAAGCACAGATAATAAAAAAAAAGCTGTTTATCGATACCAAAAACGAAGAAGTGCAAATCAGCTTCATTTTACTTTATTTTTAATGATGTTATTGTTTTTAATCCTTAGACTATCAAAGCTTCATAGACCGCCAAACTTAATGGCTAACCGGAATCTGTAAACTTGATACAGCCATCCGCGTTCGTACAAGGCTGTGCATAATTGTGTTCATGGTTATTTTTTATGAGAAGGTAGATAACCTGCTGACGGTCCACCTGATGTTAAGAGATAACCATCGCCCATGGAAATTTGCAACACCCGTAGGGTTGCAGATGCGTTGCCAGTGTCACCTTTTAATAAAGTGCGCCCCGGCTACATCACTCACCACACGAAACGCAGACTTAACTGTGGTCGTTTGTTAGGTCGTAGTATTCCCTCGGATATACCTGCCCAATAGTGAAGGATGTTGCGTGGCCCTACCACTGTTAAAAGTGTTTTGGTATGGATCGATACCGTCGAATGCTGAAGGCCGTTTTAATTGGACGCTGGGGGCGGTGTGACCCGCCGCAGAATGATATTTCTTATTTTTGAAGAGCTGTGAATGGACAATTTTCATTTACATATACAAATTACCTCCAAAATCGTCAGAGAAGAACTATGCCTTTCTACCACGAGCTCATAGTTTCTCTCCCGCATTGCCTCCTCAAGAGCAGCGAGTGTGCCAATTGGTTGCTCTCTAGCAGGTCGGGCTAGAAGACTAGTGAGATTGGCTGAGTACATATCCCCTATGACGTAAGTTGCTCCCAAAGATATTAGGACTGACACCATGCGGGCTTTATGGGTACTGGAAGGTTCCTTGCTCGAGGCTGTAAAAGTATTGCAAAAAATAGTTGTTCTCACGGGAAAAATTATATAAATTTGATTCAAAGCCCTCAATAAATGCTACACAACGCGTCCTTAAATATTTGTCAAATGAATCAACATGACGGAAGTCATACCAAAAATAAATATAACATCCTAAAAATCAGCAATAAGAAGTAATAAATAAAGTGATAAATTATTCGTAATAAACTTATTACTGCGGAAGTTAATATATTGTAATACAAATGATATAACAGTTTTGGAAGAAAGTAAATTATTTGAAACTATTTAAGTTGATAAATATAACTTGTAACAATACGGCATACATATATCGAAACGACTGGATCGAGAGAACCACAACGATAACGATGAAATTTCTTACACTGTCGTAGAAACAGCGTCGTTGTAAACCAACAACAGTCGTTCAACATGCCCAAAAGATCACGACGCCTCTGTTGCCAACACGATGGAGCAGCTATTACAATCCACAACGCAGGTCCGGTAACCAATAACGTAGCGAAGACTAAAGGCCATACCTTGTATAAAGATACGTTTCATTACCAAATGTTGTTATAATACAATTAACCTTAGCCGTGATACGTCCGTGTCCGGGCGCTCGCCTTTAATTTAATATACTCTAGCAACCTGAGTTCGATCCCCGGTGCCAGCAACTATAAAAATGTCAGTTTTAAGTGCTGAATTATCACGAGCTCAGCAGTGAAGGAAAAGATCGCGAGGAAACCTGCATATTTTCTGTAAATTAATAATAATAACAAAAAATATATATTTGGCAGATATGTGAAGTCCGCCAATCCGCAGTGGGGTCGGACTATGTACAGAGGAGGCCTTTGCCCAGCAGTAGGAGATGTATAGGCTGATACAATTAGCCATACTTAGTGAAATAAACAAAAACTTTTGTGAACAAACAACTTTTTGGCTATCACAGACTTTCACAGGAACAGAAAATTAGCTAATTAAAGCGTTAACGCATCAGCAAGCAAATTTTCACTCATTACATAATATCAAATACCACAAATAACATTTTTTTTTTAACTTAAGCCACTGCTAAACTGAAATTTAAACTGAATTGACAATTTTGAAATGAGCAAAAAGCATTACAAATAAGCAAACACAACAAATACAAGTTTACGTGATTCTGTGACAATACATGCCATAAATACAACTGTAAAATTCTGTGCAAAATATACAAATCTTAGGGCTTTATTTTAGGGTTTAATACGTTGTTGCTTTTAGTATATTCAAATTGAATTCATTCCTATTTTATGACACACTCCGAACTTGTTTTTTTTTTTTTTTTATTAAAATGAGCACACTCACTTCCCACCGGAATGGTCTGATTATAGCGAGAGTTTCACTGAGCTTGGCAGGAGCGTGTGTTAAAAAAGCCCCGGAATCCGCGAGGGTCATGAATGAAAATTCTACCGCCTGTAGTCGTTCCCATGTTATAGTCACGTCTCCAATGAAGAAATCCGCTTTCTAAATACAAAAAGAAAACAAAAGAAAACAAAATCATACCTTTGAAATCAGGAGTAATATATAACATAAACGATTCTATCATATTAATTATCACGACATTTTTTCAATTACACTTCTACAAAATCTTTACAGCTACTATTGTAGGAAGACTCCGTTAAAATAATTCGAAGTAAAATCAATAACCCGCGCACTTTCCATTTCAATCTTATACTTATAAAATAAATTGCTTTCAAACATAAACATTTTATTTTAATATGTATTATAAATAAGCTACTTAACCACTCACTTTGCCATATGCGCCAATAACATGCAAATAAGTATTTATTAATGAAACACATTTTGAAGAATAATGGTAAATAGTAGTTAGTCTACTTTGCTACCTTTCAATAAAAAATAATTTCAATAGAATAAAAATTGTCAATTATAGAGATCTTTTTCATAATCACATATTTTTATAAGCATATATTTGCCTATTTTATTTGTTGACAATAGAGGCAAACGTTTGCTTCAAAACGGTATTGCGATCATCAAAGATGATTAATAATTATATAAGGTTTGGCGATCCGACAAATAATGACCTATGAGATGATATTTTTGGGTGTGTCCCACCTGAGGTGGCCTTAACATACGGAATGGAAATTTAAATAACATGCGGAGATTGTTACGTACCCGTTTCCAAATCAACCCGAGAGTACCGCGAAACGTACCATTGCCAGAAATGCTTGAACCTTGACTTCTGTCTGGCGGATCATAGTATTGGTATCTATAACGTAATACAAGCATTTAGGGGCAATTCATGAATGCGGTTAGCCCCAATAATCTAATATATAAAATTCTCGGGTCACGGTGTTTTTAATTGAACTGCTCAGAAACGGCTCGTCGTGCCGATTTTCGTGAAATTTTGTGTGCATATCGGCCAGGGTGGAGAATCGGACATAATCTATTTTTCATCCCCCTAAATGTAAAGGGTGGTCCACCCCAAACTTTTTTTCTACCCTACAAATAGTTTATATGGCAAAACAACGTTTGCCAGGTCAGCTAATATTATATACAAATATGAGGTAGATATGACACTAGTGGTCCGAAACTGAAGCACTCTAAATCAGTAAAAATGGAGGCCTCTGCCCAGCAGTGGGGCATATATGTTACTTCACTTTACTTTTTGGGGATATATAAATAATTTTTAGAATGCAGACAAAAGTTTAGATATTTGTGAATATCATTTAACGTCTAGATATGTTATACAATATTACCTACACAAATAATAATGTATCGATACATATTTAAAAGATGAGGTTAAAGTCATTTGACATTAATCTTGTCTGTTCTAAAATTTTTACGTTTTTAGTAAACTTTTTACCTGAAATTAAGCCTCTTGGCAATCAAAAACAACAATTTGTCATCACGCCCCCCAGTGACCTCTACTGAATTGTTGTTGTACTTCACAAAATGCCACGGTGGTGCCTGTAGGTAATAAATGAATTAGTTAATTATTATTCTTAGTGTTGTACGCAGATTGAGCAAACGAGTTGTCCACAATTGTGGTTTTATCGCCAATTGTGGTTTTCCTGCAAATTAGGAAACCTCAACTCAATTCCGCTTTCGTAACACTAAGTTTTCGAGTAAAAGAGAGACACTTATGCGTCATTATATGCCATAATGACGCATAAAACCATACGGTTTTCTCCAGAATTAATGTGTGTTCATAGTCATAGACTAAAGTGTCCAACCAATGTGGGGTATCATCGATAACATACGGAACCGAGACCGGGTCTTTCACTGCTGACCATATGAGGAAGCTCAAAGTCGCTCAGCGAGCTATGGAACGAGCTATGCTTGGTATTTCTATGCGTGATAGAGTTCGCATCGAAGACATCCGCATTAGAACAAAGATAAAAGCTCGAGACATAGCTCGGAAGGTTAGTTAAGCTCAAGTGGCGATGGATGCAGATGGCTCAGGATCGTACTTCAATGAAGTCTGTGGGGGAGGCCTATGTTCAGCAGTTGTTCAGCAGTAGACTTTAACAGGCTGAAATGATGATGACGATCAGAGTCAATATTTATTCTGCTGTTATTGACATGTCAAAATTGCAAGTGAAAATACTACCATTGAATGAATTAGTTACACCCAATGATACGTTGTCGAAACATATATGAGGGAAACTGACATTCAATACCGGCACGTCGAATACACGTCCTTGAAAGTTCTTATATACGAGGTTAGCTGATGGCAATGCCGGTGATCGGTAGAGTTTACCAGACCACCAGTTTACTAAGCTCAGGTGGTGAAGTCGTTTAGGAGTAGCTTGGTTGTAATATATCCTAAATCTGAAAAAGGAATTGAAACTTATCACATCATACCAATTATTCTCTGGACCTAGAAGCAAGCTGTATAATAGTATTTACACATGAACGAATTACGAACAAATAGATCGATTAATGGTAGCTCATGATGCATTGGCGTGATGACGCGTGGACCGATTTTAATGAATTTTTTTTTGTGTGTGAACACAAACAAAAAACGTAGGTTCGATAATGGTTTAGAGTCACAAAGTTATTAAAAAAAATTGGCATTTTTGAATTAAACCGTTTGCATAGGACCGCCGTAAACAATTAGGAATATGTAGGTAGTGTTTTGACTATCAATAAGTGAGTGTAATGCTCCTATGTTGAATAAATACATTTGATTTTGATTTTGATTTTGAAAATAAAATTGATAAACAATGTACAGTTGACGATGATGAAATATAGATATATTAAAAAAGAAAATAAGACAGAACTTTTCTATCTTAATGTATATATAAAGAATAAAAAATATTCATATAGGATACACAAAATTAAAGACTCTTGGAAACTTACACGCCCATCCTAGGGTTAGTGATAACGGCCACTCTCATTGCCTCCTTAAGATTTCGGCGAAATTTCGCACTTACATCACCGACGGGCCAGTAAAACATGTATAGTATGGAACGATGAATAAAATTGTTTTCAGTTAACTAGAAATGCACCATTAGACAAGATAATCGTTTGTGAGTATATACTCCTAAGAAAACGTTAATTATAATGATATAATGCTATGCCCTGTTAAAGGTGATTCGGACAATATCACCTTTAATAGGGCATAGGACCTAGGTCACTTTGAATCATAAATAAAGCTAACTAGTTTTTTTTTTTTAATTATAAATCTACTTTTTGGCTTTCAACGAACCAAATATTAATCAACTGTGATTGAATTTAAACTAGAAAGAAAAACGGCTTGGCTATAACTTGCCTTTAGTTATACACTTTAGTTGATTCTATTTTAACGTAATCAATAGGGTTTTCTTCAATCTTTCTAATATATTAATTTTAATTTTATTTTATTTTATTGGTTAGGAAAATATACCCATACCTCTAATAGCAGGTTTTCACATTCAGTTGGTTGACATAAAATAAGACTGGTTCTCTCATTAGAAGTATCGAGGCCTTCTTTAAGATAACTGAAATACTAAAAAAACTGTTATGTATTTGTTTCAAAAATGTATACTTTATATGGCGTTAAACAAGAATAACCCTACCGCTGCTTTGCTTTCTGATTTCATAAAATCCAAATATATGACTTGAACGTTATTTTCATTTAACTTGAATAGCAATTCGTATAAATCACATGACCTGCAAATATTTTCTATGATGTAGTACAGTTCACTTTATCCAGCTGTTACCAACTGGTATACTGTGTAACTACACACGTGAGATTTGAAAATGTAACTCACTACATTTCCACACTTCATGTTATTATATATCAAAGGTTAACATTAGGTAGGGAAATAGTAATACAATAGAAATTACTTTGGTCGTAGCTGCCGAAATGAATATTTTATATTTATAAATATTTTAGGACACACTTTTACAGAACGTTCTCTAGTCCCAAACTAAGCAACGCTTGTACTATGGGTACTAATAACGACATAAACATACTATTCTTTTTGTAAATAAATACATATCATACATATGTAACCCAGACACTAGAAAAACACTAACTATGTTTATCATCACACAATATTTTTCCAGTAATGCGGATCGAACCCCTCTGGCACAGAAGGTAGGTACAATACCCACTACGCTACTCGGGTCGTCGAATAAATAACTTACCAGTAATTGTAGTAAATTAATAATATTCCGAATAAAGCTTATAACCTTGCACAATGTAAAATACACAATGTAATATCCTAAAAATACTTTGGTATACATTTTTTCTACATTGCTGGGTAATGTTTGACTGCGATCGCTCTATTCGATTAATAGCATTACATTCCGTAGACGTCAAAAGTACTTACTCAGTAAAACCATATTGCCTAGGAAACACGTCCATTATAAGCTGTGCATCCATTATAGTTTGTATAATAAGAAAGCGTTGAGAAGATTGTGCCTTTAAACTAGCAGAGTTAACAACTAGTTTTTTAGCACTCATCATCATCCTCCTGCCCTTATCCCACTTAGGTGGGACAACATGTGAATCATGTTGTAAGCGGTTTTGGCTATATTTTTTACGACCAGCCTGCCTGACGTCAATCCTCCTTGGGAAACAAACACCCAGATCCGGTACAATTATCTGTGGGCCACACAAATAGTTGTCCCGTGTGGGAATCGAACCCACGCCCCTAGACACCGAAGCCAATAACTTGGCAACGACGTCACTGAGTCATTTTTTTAGTGTCAGTTTTTAAGCACTAAAAATAATAAATTACAATAGTCAAAGCGACATCTGCCATTTCAAATATTCACTCATATTCATTTAGTAAAAAAATATTCACGGCGCAAGGATGTGTACTACATGGCGCCAAGTGTTGCTAAAATAAAATAGAGAATATAAAATGTATATTACATGTCGAGATTTCGCGATTGATTTGGTAAAACGTCTGGGCCAGTTACCCGGAAGACATACAAAGATTCATACTTAAGTTTGATCTTGAATGCAGAAATTAGCACTAATATTAAAATCAATAATAAAAAGTACCCAATGCTTACCTGATATCTGTAGAATTTCCTCTTACAATTGTTAATGATTTGGATGGAATGGTTTGAACTATATTTGTTAAGGCTAGAGAAAAATCCTTTGGTAGACACGTTAGAACAACAGAAGATTTATCTAATATGTTAAAGAAACCATAACAAGACTTTAGAAATAGTAGATACAAAATTATTATTTTCCATACCATTATAGTTAAACTTTGTATTTTATATTAAGTGAGAATCTACATCGACGATCACTGTGAAAATAGATAGTCCTCACTTCACTTCAAACTTAAATAGGTTACTTTCGTACTTACGTGTGTATAACGTATGTAGTTTGTGTGAATAAAGTACAGTGAGACTAGAAACGTTCTTAATATTATGCCTAAAGTTTTTCGGTAGCGAATTTTTCTATTAAGATTCATTTACTAAGCCTATATAAACAAGTTCAAGTGAACACATAATTGATCCTATAACTAAATCTATATATATATATGTATATTCATCTTTTGTCACTTATGTATCCGATATACAAAACCGAAAAATACTATTTAAAATATATTAATACGTGAAGCATAAACTTTTACCCCTTTTTACGTAAATTTCGCTGACGGAGGAGTATGAAATTTTCCACACTTAAAGTTTATATAGTGGAGTGTAGAATGCTAACATTACACACAGTACAATGTATAATTAATAATGGTCGAATTAGACCACTGGGCGACCACTAGTTAATTTTAAATGTGTTAGAGTTGGCGACCTTGAAAGCCAGTACCAAAATAACATTTTTTTAATTGATATACATAAATAAATGATCATATAAATGACTTCTTAATACCACTTTTGTTTACATGCTTCAAGGACAGGGTATTCATCAAAATTCTCATAATCAGTGCATTTGGCAACTTTGGACTGATTTATAGGTTGTAGGCGTATTTTTATAACAATGATATGATTTTGACAACGGTATTTGCCAGAAGTAGCTCCGAGCTACAATAATTACGCCAATAAAATATGTATAGTAGTTAGCCAATCATTAGATTCCTAATACACGTGCCAATACTATAAAAGCGTATTATTGCGTGAAAAACTTTTCTCTTAACTTAATAACGACTAAAACGATTGGAATAGAATTTAAGTTTAACCAAACCAACTTGTAGCTCATATAAGAACATACGATTTTCATTTTTCGGTTAAACTGTTTTTTTTTACAAATTAAGTAAAACCTTATTATAAAATATGAGATGTCGCATATTTTCAGTATGCTTAATATTTCCTTTTATACGCGCCGTTGATCTTTGACCATTATAACGTCAGTCAAAATGTTTCGGACAGGCCTTTGCCTATTACAACGTATGACTTGGCATTTATCATATTAAAGGTCTTAGTTATGAATATGTTAGAAGGCGTCTACTTAAATATTTTAATCCTAACACTGCTTATCGATTGTCTTTGCAGAAATGAGGAAACAATTTGGTACAATATCAGTGAATTGTGATTTTAAATGATAACGGCCGCCCGTGGACATTTGCAACACCCGTAGGGTTGCAGATGCGTTGCCACCTCTTAATAAAGTGGGCCCCGGCTACCTCACTCACCAGACGAAACGCAGAAGCATGACACTTCCACTTCACGGCGGTCTTTTGTGAAGTCGTGGTACTTAGCCGGACGGACCTGCCTATTCGTGCAACAGCGAACACTATTGCGCGGTCCTACCACAGTTAAAAGCACGAGCGTCTTCTGAAATTATGTTTTTAATAATCAGTCTTGTGCCTGCTCGACGGCGATAATCGATAACTCACTCTATATAATTCTTCGTTAAAGAAAATGCTTGTTTTTTAACACTGCATTAGAAAACAACAAGACAAACTTTTTCCCAATGAGGCTCTGCACAACGTTTATGCAAAGTTTATCCATTCTCGTCTCCCCAATCCCCCTTTTCTTGTGACATCTAGTTTGCTGTTAGCCCCGCTGCTTTGACAGCTGCGGCGGAAGAGGTCCGCAGGCAAGAGCCGCGGACTCGGTAGAGCAACGTATCTGGTGCACGACGACGACACGAAGATGCCGTCCGCTCCTCTGCACTCCGCAACACGCTGCTAACGAAAGATGGACAATCGAATAACAGGGGAGATGCAAGGGCAGAGCTAGATGGAGGTTCGTACCTTGGCTTGGAACGCAATCGTTAAGGGGACCAGAATCCCACAGCGGGGGCGTTGATGAACTTCCATTAAACAGATCCTTGGTTTCTAGTTAAGTTGAAAACCACCTTTTTTAAACTTATTTTTATAAGTCTAAGGCAATACAAATTCTTTGAAGCTCAAATTTTGGGATCGTCTTCTGTCAAACCGTTATAGCTCAGTGCACTCGCCTTTAATTCAATTTACTAGAGCAACCTGAGTTTGATCCCTGGTGCCGGCACCAATGAAATTGTTAATTATAAGTGATGATTTATCACGTGCTCGGCGGCGAAGGAAAAGATCGTGAGGAAATCTACATATTTTCGAATTAATAATAAATGTGGTAGAAACAGGCATTAGTGGTTTGTTTTGAATTGTCTTCGGATTTCATTTCAATTTTTCTTAAATGTTTTGATATCACTATCACAAATTTTTAGTTTCAAAGACGCTACAATTCATTTACCTTTTAAAATAGAGTTAGGATAGAATACCATGCCAAACTTATCATAACTAACGTAATTCTTTTATTCTATTTTCCGCTGAGAAACAGATAGAGACTAAGATTTTCTTGATGGATAATCAAGAAAAGAGCGTTTTCTCATTTAAAAAGCTAGAAGCGGCTTTGCGAAACTTATTACTAGGCGAGTTGTTTACGCTTCCATAAATTGATCTCTCTGTTAAGAATAATAACTAGACTCTTCAAAATAATTTTACAGAACAAAGGTATC